GTGCAATGTTTGCCATTAAATTGTTCTTTGTAACCGTTTTGTTTCAAACCATTTATTGTATTGAATCCGGAGTAAACATTTGAGTTTAAGAAAAGCACAAAAAACATTTCTCATGTTTCAAACGACGTCGAGCAAAGTATACGTGTAATGAATCATCCTTCGTAGACATAGCATTCAGACATACTGTGCAGTTAAAAAAATGTTATTGAATGTTTGTACTTTTTCTTTCTTGTAGACTAAGCTTTCACTTATGTGTTGTTCTGCTGTCGGATAAAAAAAGAAGATTTTTACCGTCTGCTTTTCTCTCTGACTGCTTGTTGAAAGATTTGAGCTGTGTTTCACTTTTGAAAAAACGAACGTACACTGAACAACTATTTTTAACCACAATCTATGTAGAATGACTTCGTCCAAAATGCATGTTGATACAAGTATCCTTTCTAATAATGTCACAACATATAATAATTATAAAGTTTATGATAAAATTTGGAGGTGGTGCAGTGAAGAAGTCTTCAAGTTTTTGTTGATATGTACACTTTTTCTTTTTTTGTCATTCACCCTGATGATGACCCTTGAATAAAGATCGAAAGCTCGAGTAGTGTTTTAAGTGATAACTTGAACATGCATTTTGTCGCAGTGCTATACTTCTTACTTAAATCAATTTTATGATATAGTTAATGATTAAGTTGGCGAAGATATTACCGATTTGTTGAAAATTCAAGCTAGACATATTATTCCATCATTGTTAAATATGGATGATATGCGGTCAAGATATTCTGACTAGCTCAGTTTGTAGGGAATTTCAAAAGTTTTCGATTCATTTGTTAGTCTCCGTGAATGTAAGAAAGATGAGAGATGTAGCGTTTACTTAGCGTGTTGGGCTGATTTGGAGGTTGCCGATGTGAATGGTATTGTCGAGAAATTAACAGGGTTTTAGCGAAGAAAGGTATCTGATTCCATCTGGGATGGAATGCTGCGGCGTTTTTCGTTGATAGGAAGCCACTTTTACTCGAAAAAGAGAGTGGACCGAAATTCTAACCTTATACGTTCCCGTCCTTTGATGGACATCCGAAACAACTAAAATTAAAAAGGTTCACGTTCATCAGTTATTCAAGAAATATCATCATCAACACCACTACCAATAACAATAAATAATACTATAAATACTAATACAACAGCATCTATACCAATACAACTGTTATCATCATCACGAACAACAGCATCAACAGAAGCTGCTCATCGTAATTTTACTGGTAAAGCATTAAATTTATGGTATAAAAGAAATAAACATTTATAAGAAGCAGATGATCCCCAGTTAATTCCAAATGAAGATTATGAATTACTGCTAACAAATATTAAAGGTGTATATGAAGCCAGGACTATATGTAGTTGTCTAACATCATAGAAATTATACAAAAGTCGTCGGTTTCATCAGTTAATAAATTATTATAATCATATTCAAAGTAAATCTTGTAAAATGATAAAGAAAAACGTTGAGAACAAAATGAGGAACAGAAACCTCAGTATCAATGACAACAGCTGCATCAAATAGTAATATTAATGATAATCTTTATGAGGGTGATGACGATAATAGTACTGCACCACAACCACCGCCAACAATAAAGGTCGTAATTCATAAGCAATCTCTCGTTTCTTAAACTTATCTCAATTCTGTTGTTTTGCCCTGCGGTCTCTCTTTTTATTCTTTATTTACGCGGCTGTTATTCTCGAGGTCTGTTTTTATCTAAAATGAATATGTTGAAACATAAAACTCAACCATATCAAAATATGATGATTTTTTTCTAGAGAAGCGACCCTCGAGATTTTTATATATTCGGAATCAGCGCGACGAGTTACGTTGTACGGCGCAAAGATCTCGTCGGGGTCCCGACACTTTTTGGACTCGGATTCTCCACTGTGGATTTTCACGGTATATTACACTATATTCAACAGTAGACACCAACAATGCCGCTTTTCTCCCGTTCTCTTTTATGTTTCATTTTTCTTTGCTTTGATGTTTTCTCTTTCTATGCACACTATAGAGACAGATATAAAGCGAGAAATGGAGAAAAGAACAAATTTTATCGTTTTATCGAAAAGAAGGATTCTATTCACTATGAAATTAGTGTTTATTCTCACAAATTCCCAGAATAAAAAGTTAACAAATATGGAGGGACCCCTCTCCAGTTTTTCTGCCAGTTTGTGGTACACAACCTGCACCTTATACCATGCTATTTTTTAGAAAAAGGTACCGTCTAGTCTTTTAGTTGCAAGGCTGCTAATATCACAGCTAAATGCGTGAAAAAGTAGGTATCTACGTCAATATAAATGTCAAATGAGTTTTCAGAGAACTTTGTGAACTACCATGACTTTCCGGCTTTCTCTTCGGGCCATGATAGTGAGAGATAATGTATGTAAAACAGAAATAAAAATAGTTAAAAGGCTGCTATTATCCATAGTCAGTATCTTCTCGAAACAGCTATTAATAATCAGTGAATAAGACTAGTGACACGTACTAGTTCAGTTAGATGAAACTTTAACGCTTTTTTCACTCTATGCACACTATAGAGACAGATATAAAGCAAGAAATGGAGAAAAGAACAAATTTTATCGTTTTATCGAAAAGAAGGATTCTACTCACTATGAAATTAGTGTTTATTCCTAGAATAAAAGTTAACAAATTTGAAGGGACCCCTCTCCAGTTTTTCTGCCAGTTTGTGGTACACAACTTGTACCCTATACCATGCTATTTTTTGGAAAAAGGTCTATTTTAGTTTTTAAGATATAGAGATCTCAATATCGCAGATTAAAAGTAGTAAAATGTATGGATTTCACTTTAACTTTAGAAATTGCAAGAATTTAGAATGACGAACATAACTTTCTTGATCACTTTTCGGAACATTATAGTCAGAGAAGCCCAAGTTCCACATTTATTTTGTCCAGTGAAATCGTTAAAATCAAATTGAAACGGATTTTATCTTTGGTATTGACAGCTGTATTTCTTAAAAATTAAAGGAATCTTTTTCTGCAAAATATGTCAAATATATTACAATTTGTGTACTTGAAGTTAGTGTAAGAAGTGGAAAAGGGTCCTCTCTAGTTATTCCAGTTTTAATTAGCGAAGTGAGCAGAATACAGAATTAATTTAGAGGTAGGGCACATTCGATAATTCAGTCTTTTCCTTACTTTGTTCGTTAAAGACAAAACGTCTTGTGTGTTAATATACGAAAAAAGAATCACGAATTAAGAGTTGGCAACAAATAAAAAAGTATACATACTCTCTCTTTCGTTTTCTGGTCTCGAAACACACCTTGATTAGTACTTTCATTTTTCTTTTCTTTTTATTCTCTCTCCGTATCAGCGTACAACCATATGGGAATATATATTACTAGACGTGTATGAACATGCGTTTCTCCATCTGCTATCTTGTTTTCTTTTTTCTTCTTTTACTGGATCTTTCGTTTGTTATTACAATATGCGTAGCTCTTGTTTTCTTTACTACCGACAATAATGGAACTTGTCTCTCTTTCGAGTGGGTGGAGATGGTATACAATTGCTGATTTCTTTCTTTTTCAAATAAACAGCTTATATCAAATAATACAAACAACAATAATAATACTAAACAAACAATTGATTTTATTGATAGATATCCATTATTAAAATCACTAATATTCTATATCAAATACTGTATAATAACAAAAGGAATAATATGTATGGGATTTACCAAACCTAATAGATTGTATATCAAATAATTTGCAACGTTCAAAATAAATATTGTTATGATAAATTAATTCAAGATTTCTCCGTAGCTTTATATATTCTTGCCGGTAACAATGCTTACAAATTTATCACAATGACTATCTGTGCTGGATTGCCATCTGTATAGTATTTGATTAAAAACTCAGATGAAAATCTAATTGAAGGTAACTTTCGTGTTGATGAATTAAAATAATACTTAAATACAACTGGTGTAAAATATGAATCTATGTCAGACGATTGTACGGGAGTGGTACTAAAAGTCTAAAAGTACAATACGACAAAAAATTCAGTGCATTCGTTGGATTTAATACGCCATTAGTTTCTGGGATACCATCCGTTACTTATTACCAAACAAATTCCTTTGATGAATCGAAAAATTGGTTCACAAACACTGAAAAAGTATCATTATTAATTACATTTACATGTATTTCAACCAATAGTAAATGATTCATCACCTTATATTCCATCTTATACGGTATTAATAATAAATATAATGCAACAGATACTTATCATAGATGGCTTTATTTATATCACCAATGTTTAACAAAAGGTGTTTATGTTTTACACCTTTCAACAGGTACGATTATCCTTGTGAGCGTTGGTGTTGTTTATTTGCTAAACCTGCTAGAGTTTAGCAATTTCTCTCGATTTATTTAAATATGAAGTGTTGTATGTCTCCGTCAATTGTTTAGATTGTGACGGAAAGTATCTCCGTTCAGTGAGATTAGTCAGTGTTTTTTCTGCTGATTCGCCACATGTTAAAAAATATTCAAATAGTCAAAGAATTTACAATTAATATACCAAAATCTTGGATATTTATATCCAATACACCTTTGCATTAAATCACGTAATCGATTGTTATCAAATAAAACGCAAAAGAGAATAGATGGTCAAATAATTGAATTAAAACATTAAGAACAAATAATTAATAATAATTCAAAAGTCCGACATTGTTTTGTTCAATCAGATTTGTATCGTAAGGACAGACAATATTTCATTTCTTGTCGTCTCAAAATATATTCGATTTATTAGATAAAGATCCAAAAGCTCAATCAGCCTTCGTTTATTTAAAATTATTAAATTATATAACTAAAGCCTATATTGATAACAATCGAAATATTTTGAATCGATTATATTATGCATGGATTGTCATATTTGTTTACAGATTATGGTGGCTCTGGTTGAAATTGTATTTGATAACAGAAAAGTTATCAAAACCGAAAATGTAATAATAATAATTTTTCTGATTTAACGATGAATGATATTGAAGTAACAATACTTACCACATTTAAAACAGCAAAAACGTTTATTAATTAATTAAAAATGATCAATTTATTAAAAAATACTGTTTATGAATTAAAAGAATTAGCATTAGCAGTTTGTAAAGAACATGACACAACAAATAATGTCCATGAATATCGACCATTAAATAATTTTGATTCTGAATCCGAAACAGATACAAATGAAAATTATTCTGTTAAAGACGAAAACAAAGCAATGGAACAGTTCAAATTCCGATGGTCCCACATCGAACTATCCGAAAGGTTCTGTACCATAAACGGTTCAGTTTGAAATCTCCATATTTCCTCGGAAAATAGATTCCATCTGACAAATAATGTTCGGTATTAAGTATTTTGTAAATATATATAGTACATTTGACGGAGTGCAGATTAAGTCGTCAACTATTTGCTTTAGCTACTTACAACAGGTAAACTGTATGCGCGACGTTGGAAACAAACGACAGATAATATTTTACCCAAGAGTCAGGAAAGAGCTGAAATAATAAGCACGTCACAATAAGCTTTCTATTGTTTTTTAGTAGAAGATGACGAACTAATTAAAATACGAAACTATTAGCTTATAGTCTAATGTATCGTCCGAAGGACTTAAGATCGCCAAGTCCTCATGGGAAAAAATCAGAAGACCCATATCAGTATGCCTTTGTAATAGTCCTTTTAATCAATTGATAAATAAATGCAGCATTGCCTATTCTGCAAATTCCCATAAAGCAGAATTTCTTTTTTGAGTACACGGCAAAAAAAACAGTCAATCCGTCCTAAATCGAATGCAAATCGGATTTTTCGATAATTTCTTTTTCAGTAAAATCTTAACAGAGTTACAATCATTTCCTGAAACTTTGTCAGATATACCATCATTAGTTGTCGATTCTTCCTACCTTTGATGTTTAGAGAGAGATATGTTTTACGATTTTTTCTGTTATCAGAGCGTTCCAGACAAAATTAATTAGTTACCTAGAATTTCGATTCATCTTTTTTGATCTGGTAAAGCATCAAACAAGGTACCGGGGTGTGAAAAGTTTTTTGGTAATTGAGTTCTCCATATAATCATTTTAAATGTACCAGCATTTAAATCGGTTACACAATTATTAGTTCACGCTCTTCATTATTTCTCAACAATATGCAGTGAAACTATTTGAAGTTTACTATAGCATTAAATTTTCTTTTTATAAACACCATATACGATATGTTTGAAGTGTAGTGTTCTTCATAAAATCAATTGTGCTCATGACCGAAATAGAAAGAAAATCACAACTTCGAGACCTTGAGCTCGAGATGATTTTGGACTTTTAACCTGATATTTAACTCCCCGGCGAGTTTTATAGTTCGGTGCTATGCACTATACTAATTTACACATAGACGGTCTTCTACTCTTTGGTATTTAGATATATCACATAACAATCAGCCATGAACTAACATCATCTATATGTAGAATCTGCGTCTTCGTCTAAATACTTTCGCTTGTACTGCCAGGCCAAAAGTAACACAGACTTAATGGTTCGGTTAAAACAAGATGACATTGAACCATTTTAAATCGACAGATCTCTTTTCTCTGAAATGTCGAATGATTTTCACTCAAAATGCATCAGTCACCTTCATAGAACTTTGCAGGTTGTATCGCACTTCGATCAAACTATGAAAAGGATCCATCTGAAAGACTGGACCCATCAAGATTCTTTCTTTGTTAGAGAGTACAGCCTGTTGGTTGTTAACAGAAAAGAATGTTTTGTGACATAGTGTCAAGAGTAATGCAAAGTAACACTAATGATCGAAAAATCTTTCTTTTTCTTTTCTCTACATTTATGAAGTATTTTTCGATTCAAACAACTATGTAGATCCATTGTGACTAATTCTTTCTAACTCTTCTGAGAGGTTAATGCTCAGTAGATAACTGTCTTAAACACATAGGACAAGCAGCTTAAATTCCATTCTGTAGAACAAATTTCTGCTGAAGACACATGAGTATACTAGGCGCCCTATGGGTCACTCCACCGACTCCCATAGTGCCTGGAGTGTGACGAAGTGTGCGGAGTATTGCGAATGCGGACTGTGCTCTTTCCCTCTTGAGATTGATACAATCTGGCTGTGGATGTGTTTGGCGGCGTGATTAAACGAAGGATGCTTCTGAGCCAAGAACTTCTTAAAGTGCTTCACAATTCTCGTATGTTCTATCGCTTTTCTAGATAAGAGGTGTAATTGTTGAGCTAAACGAGCTCGTCGAGACAATATGCAAAGATCAGGCGAAACGAGAGGAAGAAGAGAATTCGATCTCAATCAGCATCTACGATAGAACACACACAAATCTCAAATCAGACAACAGCTCATTCATGTGGTTTCAGCTGTTTATCGAAGTTCTACTCCGAATGAAACATGCACAAACATCGAAAGATGAACTTGTTCAAATCTGCAACGAACACTATCGAGGCAATGATGCAGACCTTAAGATTATTCATGAATTTCATCAAACATACAAACCGTCTGATGCTCTACGTTGGTAAACTCGAGACTGTTTTCTCTACAAGATGCTGAACAAAGCGCTTCGAGTTCAGAACATCGACATTCTTTTCGCGCTTCGATTTCTAGTCGTCGATATTCACAACCAGCTCATCAAAGAATCGTCAAACACAAACATCAGTCGATTATATCGAGGTCAAGTGATGTCAAAAGATGAACTTTCTCGCATTCGTTCAAGTATTGGCGAATTCATCTCGATAAACTCCTTTCTGTCCACAACTCGTAATCGGAGCAAAGCACTTGAATTTGCTCAAAGCCCTCAGTGTGAAGTTCAGTATGAACGTGTTCTGTTTAAAATCAAAGTTGAGAGTCGAATAAAAGCAAAACCGTTTGCCGATATTTCTCAAATGAGTTATTTCCCTGGTGAGGAAGAAATTCTGATTATGCTCGGTTCCATCTTTCGACTTGAAAGTGTTCACTTTGACAAAGAACAACAAATCTGGGTGGCTGATTTAGAGTTACGCAACGAAGATGACCATCATCTGAAACAAGTGTTTGACCATATGAAGAAAGAGATGGGGAGTGAAACTACTCTCACTTCACTTGGAAATTTGCTCCGTCAGATGGGTGAATTGGACAAGGCCGAAAAGTATTATAAACGGTTGCTAAATGAGCTCGCAGTGGACGATTCTGGGATTGCTGACGCTTACATAGGATTCGCTGATGTACAAACTGACAAAGGTGAACATGATTTAGCCTTGATGAATTACGACAAAGCATTGAAAATCACAGTAAAAGCTCTTCCACCCGATCACCCTGTTATCGCCGCCACATATAACAATATCGCTAATGTCCAAGTTAATACAGGTGAATATGATTTAGCCTTGATGAATTATGACAAAGCATTGAAAATCAGAGTAAAAACTCTTCCACCCGATCACCCTGATATCGCCACCACATGTAACAGTATCGGTTTTGTGCAGTGGAAGAAAGGTGAATATGATTTAGCCTTGATGAATTACGACAAAGCATTGAAAATCCGAGTAAAAGCTCTTCCATCCGATCACCCTGATATCGCCACCACATATAACAGTATGGCTAATGTACAAGCTGACAAAGGTGAATATGATTTAGCCTTGATGAATTATGACAAAGCATTGAAAATCAGAGTAAAAGCTCTTCCATCCGATCACCCTGATATCGCCACCACATATAACAGTATGGCTAATGTACAAGCTGACAAAGGTGAATATGATTTAGCCTTGATGAATTATGACAAAGCATTGAAAATCAGAGTAAAAGCTCTTCCATCCGATCACCCTGATATCGCCACCACATGTAACAGTATCGGTCTTGTGCAGTGGAACAAAGGTGAATATGATTTAGCCTTGATGAATTACGACAAAGCATTGAAAATCACAGTAAAAGCTCTTCCACCCGATCACCCTAATATCGCCGCCACATATAACAATATCGCTAATGTCCAAGTTAACACAGGTGAATATGATTTAGCCTTGATGAATTACGACAAAGCATTGAAAATCAGAGAAAAAGCTCTTCCACCCGATCACCCTGATATCGCCGCCACATATAACAATATCGCTAATGTCCAAGTTAACACAGGTGAATATGATTTAGCCTTGATGAATTATGACAAAGCATTGAAAATCAGAGTAAAAGCTCTTCCACCCGATCACCCTGATATCGCCACCACATATAACAGTATCGGTTTTGTGCAGTGGAAGAAAGGTGAATATGATTTAGCCTTGATGAATTATGACAAAGCATTGAAAATTCGAGTAAAAGCTCTTCCATCCGATCACCCTGATATCGCCACCACATATAACAGTATGGCTAATGTACAAGCTGACAAAGGTGAATATGATTTAGCCTTGATGAATTACGACAAAGCATTGAAAATCCGAGTAAAAGCTCTTCCATCCGATCACCCTGATATCGCCACCACATATAACAGTATGGCTAATGTACAAGCTGACAAATGCCTTGGCTTAAGACTCCTTGAACCCAACTTAAAACTTTAATTTACACGGTTGAATGTTTTTTGTATAAAAAACGCTTCAACTATTTTTTGTATTTTATATATAAGTATACATCAGAGCTCCTGCCGATCCACCCGACTCGATGACCCGAGCCATTTGCTTTTTTTTCTCGGGCCGGGCGGGCCGTCCGAGAAAAGTTTTTAGCTCGGTCGGGTCAGCGTTTTTTACGATCCGGCTCGGCCCAGGAAATTTTAAAAATTTTCTTCTTATTTTCAGTTAAATTTGGCTATTTCCTAGTAACGGTATGTTACTATTATTCTGTTGAGAAAAAGAGTTTGATGACTGGTCAATTCGGATGACTGATAATAGGAGAAGAAACAAATACACCGTGTAAAGTAATTCTATCCATTACTGAGTTTGTTGTACAATAGACTCTCGAATATGTGCTACTCTATATATAGTCCAGAAGACAAAAGGGGAGTGATGAAATATGAATGGAGAGAGCGAATGATAGAATGAACAATGGGAGAGTAATAAAACATGACTGACCAAGAAATGAACGTAGAGAGAGAAGAACATGCACAAAGGGAGAGTGATATACGCACAGTAACACAGCGCCAATGGATATTTGGTTTCGAATTTGTTTCTTTTTTTCAATTTCTCTCCTCTTCGTTCTTCGTGCTATATTATTTAAAGCTCATATTAAAGTTGTTCAGCTATTAAATTATTATGTCTGAATCTGAATGCGATAAGGCAACAACATCTTCCGATATTCTACGAAGTTATACCTGGTTTTGCTAGTTGTTTTAATTGTAAAAAAGCGTTACATTATGAAAGTAGTACAAAATATATGAAAAGTCATAATTGTATACCTTCAACAACAATAAACGAAGGACCATTAGCTAAATATTTAAATAATAAGAAAGTTACCGATGTTCAAAAACAAGACAAAGATCAAATGAAACAAAAATTAACTCAATGGATTTGCTCATCAGTTCCATCATTTAGTATTATTGAAGATTTCGGATTAAATGAAGTAATTCAAGAAGCTGTTCGTATTGGTAAGTCAAGATAGCTGATTGGCTCAATGAATAATAAATGCATCGTTTTTTGCATTTCTAGGTCAAAAGTATACTAATCCAGTTAATGTTAATGACATTCTTGTTAAAACAGATTCAATTGCAAATCATGTTCGTTGTTTAGCTGAACAATATAGGCAATCATTAAAACTAATTTTAATTGAACAAGCTGAAGCTGGAGTGTTATGTATCAATCCGGATTTATGGAGAGATAAATATCGTAAAGTTTCTTATTTGGGCTTAACATGTGTTTTCGTTGATAAGAATTTCGAATTTAAAACAATTGATCTTTGTTGTGGTGAATATGATGAATTAGATAAAACCGATTATTTATCTTGTAATTTAGGCAATACGTGATCAATTGAAAAAATTTGGCTTAGAATATTATTTTGAGAATAAGAAATTATCATTCATGTCAGATCGTGGTTCAAATATAATTAAAGCATTAGCTGGGCAAGAACTATCATTTCGTTTTGGACATAGAATAAAAAACATATTAAAGAATTACTTGAAACAATATCATGTTCAAAAGCATTAGTAAAATACGTTAAATTGGTGAGTATTCAAAGGGTACATTTCATTGAGCTTTTGAAACAAAAATTGTTTAATTTTATTTGTCTGTCTTCTAAAGTTGATATGAATAAAGAAATACAAGATAATTATAGTGTAGCATTAAAACAATCAAATGTAACAGGATGGTTGTCTTTATCTAGTTTATTAGAATCAATTGAAATATCAATAGAACATGCTCGATCAATAATATCATCGAAACCAGCAGCTGTTAAACAAAAAGTCTGTATAAATAAAATTAATATTGAAAGTATTAAAGATTTAGTTTGTTTATTGAAACCATTTAAACATGTATCGACATTAGTTCAAACTGGGGATACACCCTCATTGCATATGGTTTATGTTGCTATAAATAAACTAGAACTTCATCTTGAAGAAAAGGATATTGATCAAGATGGAAAATGTATCATTATTGATGCTAGACATGAAGGTATATTTACAGGCAATAAACAGAAAATAAATTTAAATTTATTTTTTTCCGCTTTATATTTACAGGAAATAATTTCTTTCGACAATGTTTGCGACAATTATTATCAACGATATTTTCATTTGATAATAGACATTTAGCAGCTGCACTATTACATCCACAATATCGTAAATTAACATATGCCGATGATTATCGAAGAGGTATTACACATGTTTATGTTCGTGAACAAATTAAAAAAATGTACGGAAATGTTAATCAGCAAAATAATGAGTTGGCAACAATAGATGAACCATCGAAAAAAAAATATAAAACGATGGAAGATCAATTTATGGACCCTGATGACAATGATGCTGATAATAATTTAACAACATCTCGATCGCTTCTAGATGAACTAGATAAATATTTAAAAATGGCAATTGATGTGCAATTCAAACAGCCAAGTCCACTAGTATTTTGGAAAGATCATCAGCAGAAATTTCCGTATCTGGCAAAGCTTGCTCGACATTTATATTCAATTCCAGCAACGTCTGCTGGAGTCGAGAAGCAGTTTAGTGCCGCGGGTCTTGTAATTAATAAACGACGATCATCATTAAATCCTGCTACTGTAGAAGCTATATTATTTGTACGATCAATTCAAAAATCACTTGAAAAAGATCCACATCTATTTTCCTAACCTTGTTTTGTGTTTCCTTCTCTTCTTTCTCTCACTATTGTTCATATGTTTTTGAAATTACCTAACCAAAAAGTTATTTCTGTTTTCTCAATTAACTCATACTGCTGCTGAACTAATCTTTAGCAAAGTTTTTACTGTGTTTTTGCCATAACAAAATTGAATTGAGTCTAAAAAGAATTTAGAGTCGGGCTCGAGCCGGGCGGTCCAGGAAAGACTACCACCCGGGACGGGTCGGGCCAACCGATTCGCATGATGGGTCGAGCAGGCCACGACTTTTCTTGGCCCGGCTTGTTCCGGGCGGGCCATCAAAAATTCACCCGATTAGGAGCTCTGGTATATATATATGCTTGTTTATAATATTGTTCGTGGTGCCATAGAAAATAAAATTTTTGTTTATTGCGACGCGTTTCGTTTTATTTAAAAATAAAACTCATCAGTCAATTATTTTGATCCAGAACACACGCAAAAATAAAATAAAAAAATAAAAAATAGTAAAGAAAAAATTAAACAAGCAGAAAGACACACACACACAAGTATGTTATACATGTGGTCAGCCTGGACATTATGCCAGATATTGTTCGCAATATTTAAACCGGTGATGGAGTCACGTAGTGGTGATAGTGGCTCCAACAATCACAATATAAAACCATCACCTTTAACATTTATTACAGTTCCAGTGAATGGGAAAATGATCAAAACCTTGGTGGATACCGGAGCAACCAATTCAATTATTAATCAATCCACCTTATCAAAGCTTCATCATGCACCCATCATAAGAAAAAGTTATTATTATCAATTAGCCAATAAGACTAATATGCATTTTATTGGCGAAGTACAACTGAAGGTTAGAATTAAATATATAACCACCTGGATTACGGCATTGGTGGCGGATTCACTATGTACCGATTTTATTTTGGGTAAAGATTGGATACGACAATACCAAAGTGATGTATTAGAAAGCAGTCAGGAGATTAGAATTAGAACTGGATCTGGTCCAGTATCAGTACCATTTGATGAAGATACAGAAAATGTTGCTTTCGATATTAAACTTCTTCATCCAATTATATTAGGTTCACGACAAGAATGTGAGATTGAAGCACAAGCTCCCATTTCAACAGCTGACACAGTTATATTTCATCCAAACAACAACTTCAACATAATCCGGCAATTTTGATGCCACATGCATTACTAAAAATTACAAATTATACGACAAAATTAACGGTGATCAATCTAAATGATCACACAGTGCAACATTTTTCAAGTCATCGAAAGCAAACAGAAAACCACCTTCAAAACTTGAAAGTACTAGGTGAGATATGACAAACCCCATTTTGTTTTGGCTAGGTGTGGGGCAGATTTTTTTTTTT